ACAAAGAGGAAGAAGGACAGTTGATCATTGGGGTGCCCCAGAGCAGGGATGGAGTGAGCTGTTTCACCTCCTCAAAAGCCTGTGGTTGGTTTTTGAGGAAACCAGTGGAAGGGCTCTAGGTTGGAGTGCCTTAAGTAAGATATTTAAAGATTGAGCAATAGCAGAGAAATTAGGAATCCCACTTCAGCAATATCCAGCTGGTCCCAGGAATCCCCACAACTGTTGTTTGGTTTGATGAAGGGGAAAGGAGCTAATGCTTCTTATTTCAGGATTGAAGAGAAAATCCATGTCTGCTAATGACATATCCCAAATATTTAACTTGGGGCATTTTATTTATTTTTACATTTTTTCCCAATGTTTATTCTTTTTTGAGAGAGAGAGAGAGAATAAGCAGGGGAGGGGCAGAGAGAGAAGGAGACCCAGCATCCAAAGCAGACTCCAGGCTCTTAGCTGTCAGCCCAGAGCCTGATGCGGGGCTCGAGCTCACGAACCGTGAGATCATGACCTGAGCTGAAGTCGGATGCTTAACCGGCTGAGCCACCCAGGCGCCCCTATTTTTTTTCTAATTTATTTTTTTCTCCACCTCCACCCCCATCCTCCGGGTTGGGGCATTTAAAATTTTTATTTTTGAGAGAGAGAGAGAGACAGAGTGCAAGCTGGGGAGGGAATTTAGGGCATTTTAACTTGTAATTTTTTCTTTTGCTACCTTCGTCCTTTTTTAGCTATTTTAACAGGTGGATACTGTCAATTGGACCCACTCTTTATGGAGGGGAGCAAAGAAGAGGTGCACATCTTAGAATAAGTAGAATTTTGCGGGAAGGTTACATCAGTGACATCTGCTTTTAAGATTTGGGGAAAATAAGTAGGGCTCTCAGTGTAACCTCGAGATCTAACTGTCCAGGTATATTTTTTTTCCTTCCCAGCTGATGGCAAACAAAAATTGGCTCTCTGCGTCCATAGGCGTACTGAAGAGGGCACTACACCAATCCACTACTGTGATTTGCTGTCTGGGGGGATAGCGGAGAATAAAGTGTGAGGGCGAGGCACGAGTGCGTGGTGTGAACAACAATGTTATTTAGTGCTCCGAGGTCCTGTACAAACCTCCATCCTCCACCACGAGGTTTTGGTATGGGAAGAATTGGCATTTTATAAGGACTCGTGCATGGAATAATCAAACCTATATATATATTCCTCAATTATAGGCTTAATCCCTTTCAATGGCTTCAGACTGTGTAATGTCAGGGAGTGGTTTGGAATGATCAATCTGATCATCCGGATGGAAGGGGCAGAGTGTATATGCGTCTGATGTCAGCAGGACTTGGACCAAAGGGTGTCAGGGACAGTGTCCAGGGCGGTGGTGGTGGTGGTGGGGGGGGTGCTATAGGTTTTGAATTACAGAAAAGCAAGGTATTGATGGAGGCTCCTTTTGTGTAGAATTTTTTGTGTGCTGTTTTGCTATTTCCAAAAACACCCTCTGTCTCCCCCTCCCCAACTTTCTAAGAAATCTCTACACCCAACATGGGGCTTGAACTCATGACCCTGAAATCAAGAGTTGGGTGCTCCGCTGACTAAGCCAACCAGGCACCCACTTTTGATTTATTTATTTATTTCACTTTTAAAAAGTATTTATTTATTTTGAGAGAGAGAGAGAGAGAGAGAGAGAGAGAGAGAGAGAGAGAGAGAGAGAGAGGAAGAGAATCCCAAGCAGGCTCTGCCCTGATGCAAGGCTCCTTCTCACAAATGGTGAGGTCATGACCTGAGCTGAAATCAAGAGTCAGGAGCTCAACATACTGGGCCACCCAGGCTCCCCAGACTTTTTTTTAAAAAAGGATTTACCCTTTTTGAGAGAAGGAAATGTGTGCCTGATAAGTCTCAAGAAAATTGTGGCCTAACAGGTGAATTCCTATTCAGGGACCAGAAGGAATCCATGAGTGCCTTGTAAAGGCCCCAGCTGAAAAAGGGATAGGTTAGGATTTAAAAACTGTCCTGGGGTATTAGCCACTCCCACCATTTGTAGTGTTTCTGTACTCTGAGGAAGCAGGACAGAGAGGCTGGTGGGTTTGAAAACTGATGGTGTTGCTCCCATGACCATAAGAGCTCCTGTCACCTCATTCCCAGTAATAAGATTTATTTCCCCTAAGGTGTGAGTTTGAAGTCATGGGAAGACCCCCTCCTGTCTTCAGAGCCACCCTGTTCTGCCATATGATCATTCTTCCCCAGCTGCTAGTATCCTTAGAGGGGAAAGTGCTCTGAGGCTCTTGCCACTGACTTTGTCTGGACGTTTTGCAGCAAGCCTCTTCCAACGGCCAGGTTCTTCTGCAGTAATTGCAAACACCTTTGACATGAGAAAGACCCTGAAGATTTTGGGAATTTCTGGGGATTGTTAATTGTTGTAATTGGAGACACATGATCTGAGAAGCTTGGACTTGTGTGTCCTTTCTTTTTCGCTGCTCATTCTGTGGTGCGAGATAATTGATCAGCCAAATTAACCAGATCATGAGGCTCCATAGTGGCCCGGCTGAGTTGTTGTCATTTAACTAAAGTACTGAGTTCACCTTCTAACCTGTTAGCAATGATGGAGTTAAATTAAAAGGAGATTTCATGGTTAATTTTGTCAATATCAGAGTATTGTTTAAAAGTTTTTTCCTGTCTATCATAACAATCAAAATCAGGTTCATCTGGCTGTGGAGTACATTGCTGAATTTTTCTCTAATCTGTAGTCTTTGGAAAAACCCAGGAATAGTTTTATGTAATTCTTCAGTTGGCTTAAAAGCTTCTGTGTTTTTTTTTTTCCTGTAGCCTTTTCACTTAGAAAAATCATCCAAATACTATGTGTAGCCTAGTTTTCCCATCCATTCTCTTGCATGGCCACCATTCACAAGCATATAGATAAGTCAATAAAGGTTACAATAACCAGGTTCACAGATCTAAATAACTAAGTTGAATTCCTTAGCAAATCCTGGAGGGTCTTCAAAGGCACTGGCAAGCCCTTGGAAATGGCTTGTAATTCTGCCTTAGTCCAAGGAGAATAACTAACTGATGACGTTTCAGAGCCTCCTTCATTAGGTTTAACTTTAGAAGGAGTTTTGGATGACAGGAGGATCTAGGGGAACCCGTGGGATGTCATTATAGAATGGGAGTTCAGCTAGGCTGGGATTTTGTATGGGTGGAGAGCGGAGGGAGAAGGTTGAAGACGAGCAACAAGGGTTAGCTCAGAAGACTCCACAAGCTTTCCTAGTTTAGATCCTCTCTGGAAGTGGTTACAGTTAGCTTTAGAAAGTTTAGCGTTATTATAAGGAAGGAAGTTTAGAATTATTTAATTCTTGGACACTCCAAATCCCAATTTAAATAATGCCTCCCACCCTAGATGCTTGGTTTTGTTTTCATTTTCCAGTTGTGCATGCAAATACATTAATTTTGGAATCTCCAAAGATGCCCAAAGTGGCCATTGTAACAAGTCATTTTCAGTCAGATTGGGCCAACGAGCCAGAAACTTACAAGAAATGGACCCACAAGACTTGAACATAAATACACCTGGGCTTCCAGACAGGGGCTGGTCTCCAGCAGCCATCTTTGAAACCAAACACCCAACTGAGTAATGAATCACCAGAGAAGAGAGCGTATCTCTGTAAATCAAAGAGATAGAAACTGGCACCAGAAAGGCACCTCAACCAAAAATGGGAGATTGGGAACCAAGAAGATTTGCCACCAGAACTCAGAGCCGGTTGGGGAGAAGGCAGAGCACAATTTGCTCAGGAGGGTACCCTTCCTGAAATCCAACTGCGGCCTGGCGCAGGAGTCAGAGTGGTTTGTTACTTCCATCCCACACCATTCTGACACCAGAAATGTTAAATGAGAGGGGCGCCTGGGTGGCTCAGTGGGTTAAGTGTCTGACTTCAGCTCAGGTCATGATCACGGCTCCTGAGTTCAGGCTCTGTGCTGACAGCTCAGGACCTGGATGCTGCTTCAGATTCTGTGTCTCCCTCTCTGCCCTCCTCGGTGCTTACATACAAAAAAAAAAAAAAAAAAAAAAAAAAAAAAAAAAAAAAAAAAGAAAAGAAAAAGAAAAAAGTTAACCGAGGAAAATGAGGCAAAATTAAAAAGTACAAAGGCCTTTATTTGGGGTCTCAGAATTGCAATTCGGGCAGCACAGAAAAATGTGTCCCTTGTGTGGGGAAAGCAAGGGATTTTTATGAGAAAGGGGAAGGGGGACAATCACATGACTTGGATAAAAAAAAAAAGTCAATTGGTATTAACAGGCTGAACGGCTTTTGGTTACATTTTGATGGACTGATTTATTGCTGTTCATAACGAAAACTACTCCTAGTATGCGTTAATTACTCTGTCTTCGTAAAGTCCACACTGACAGTTTTATGGGGGCAGACGCCAGTACCCCTGTTGTCTTTAGGAACGACTTGCTCCTAAGACAGTTGCTGTTTCTGGCCCAGTCCAAGGGTCTTTCTGCTCAGTTCCAGAGTTCGTTAGCTGTTTGTTTTATAAAGGAAAATGGAGCTTCTCTCAAAATGGAGTCTCTCACGTCCAGAAACATTATACAATTCTACAGTGGGGGAAAAGGAGAAGGCACAGAAGAGAAAAATATCTCACACTACCCAAGAGAATTAAAATGCTGCCACGTGACAGTACCAAGGGCCTACGTGAGCCAAGGTAGTCAGGGGACGCCTGCCTCGCAGGAGGTGACACTGAGGCTAAGCGCCGAATGGGAAACACGTTTCATTCGAGGGAGTAGCACGCAATCGGGACGACCTTCTACCAGGAACCCTTCGCAGCCACTCGCTTCTGAGAGCTTCCGGGCCTCTTCTTCCCGCCTCACCCCTCCCCGCCCTTGCCTCTGCGGCCTTTTGCGGCTGCGCAAGCCCCTACCCAATCGAAAGCTTCCTACTGCTGAAAGGGGCAGGGATTGGTCCCAAGTTCCAGAGACGGCCAGGAAGGGGCGGGGCTCATGGTACGTTTTTAATATGTATCGGCGGGGCGGGACAAAGGCAGACGGAAGTGTTGTGTGTTGTTGCCGGAAGTGGCGAGGGAAAGTTTGTGATGGCGGCTACAGTTTTAGCCGAAAAGGTAAGTTCCGCGGGCTCTGCCCAAGGATTTTTGTGTGTGGGGGGGCTCTGGGGGACGGCAAAGGCCAGAGGCTGAGGAGATGTCTGGGTGCCGGGCCAGGGAGGCGCGGACACCTAGGTCGGGATTGGAGTGAGGGCCTGGCCCGGCCGCTCGGGACCGGCGGGGAATCGGCCAGGGTAGTACGGGAAAAGCCGAGCCGACCCCTCCCGCAGCGGGTCTTTCTCGCCGCAGGTGCCGGTGGACAGCGCGGAGGAGGGGGAGCAGCCCCTGGCGACGGCGGCGGAGCTGGCCGCGCAGAAGCGCGAACAGAGGCTTCGCAAATTCCGGGAGCTGCACCTGAAGCGGGTGAGTAGCCCGGGAGGCACCTGAGGCTGGTCACCCCGTGCCCGTTCGTGGACGTACCGGGAAGCTGCAAAAGCGTGCTTGGCAGATCGTCTGAGTGGAATGAAATATCTATCCCGGTGCTTCTCAACCCTGGCAACAGATTGAAGTCACTTTTGAAAATACACACAACCCTCCTCCCACCCGCTTCTGATTTAACTCATCTGGGCTGGGTTTGGGAGTCTCTATTAACTAACGGCCTCCCTGCTGTGTAACAATTCGTTTTACCTAGGGGATATGTAGAGCTGGGGAAGAAAAACTCCTCCAGTGTTAGTAAGAGAGCTGGTTGCCTGTTCCTTCAAAGATGATCAGCAAATCTCTGCAAGCCTGTAATGTCAGTGGCTCACCTAGTTGGTGGGGAACTAGATGATTCAGATACGGCTTTTGCTCTTAAGGAGAGGAGACAGCTTTATAGCCAGGGCGTGCTAACGTGAGGAACAGAGTGCCCTGGGAGTGCAGAGGAGAGATGGATACAGTTTGAGGGGTTCCTGGGAGTGCCTCCCATAAGAGGTGACACCTAAACTGCTGTTGGAAAGATGTATAAGGTATTACCAGGCAAAGAAGCTGGAGGAACAAATGCAAGTAAGGAGATTCATAGCGGAGCTAAGAGTCCAGCAAACAACTGGCTGCAGTGGGAGCTGAGGAAGGAAAAAGCGGCTCCAGCCTGTTTCAACTTAGGGAGCCTGACTGCCAGCTTGGCTGTGGCCTCACAAACCTCCCACATCACTCTGACTGGTGGCGTGAGACAAACAAGACCGGTCAAACCACAGAAATGACCCCACATTCCCCTCTTCTGCTCACACCAGTGACTGTTAGGACCAGTGACAGCGTTAGTCCCCCCCCCCCCCCCCCCCGTTAATCCTGTAGAAGAACCTACGACACCTGGTGGTCGAATGCCCTGCCTTTCTGACGGTGTCTAATCCAGAGCACAACCACACGCTCCTGAGCCTTATGCCCCTGCCCCAGTCACCTGACACAAACCTAAATCCTGTAGCTAGCCCCTCTTTAACACCCCTCACTGGAATGCCCACAGCGCCCGTGGTTTGCCGTCTCCTTCAGTGCAGCGAACACAACTTTGGCTGCAGGGTGAGCTCTTGGTGTCTTCAACCGGAGGGCGTTGCCAGAGCCAAGGGTACGAGGATGTAAGAGGGATGGTAGTTCCGAGCAGTGCCTCTCTTTGTCCAGAGAACATTAATAAAGGATTAAACACACTGAAGTGTTTACTCGGAGGGACTGTGTAAAATATATGTGGTTGGAAATTAGGAGACCTGGCTTCCTGGACTAACGGCCACCAACCTGTGACCTGAGAAACATCTAGCTTACGTTGTCCTTAAGATGATATGCTTATTATGCCTTGTGCAGTTAGGTTCATTTTTTTTTCTAAGTCTGTTTTTTAAGAGCGCACACGCATGTGCGAGGTGGGGAGGGGCAGAGAGGGAACGCCAAGCAGGCTCCATACTGTGAGTGCAGAGCCTCACGCGGGGCTCGATCCTACGAACCTTGAGATCGAAACTAAGAGTCAGCTGCTCAGCTGACTAAGCCACCCAGGGACCCCAGTTAAGTTCATCTTAAATCACACTCTTCATACAGTAATTAAAATGGAAAATACCTTTCCTTTGCCATAATGTAAACTATTAAGATATTTAAAAAAGAGGAGGGGCTTGGAAAAGGTTAGAGATATTAAGATCGGTGCTAAAGCCCTCAGCCCCAAGTTGAGGCTTTTTCCTTGAGTTAATCAGGATTAAAAGAGAATTGAAAGTAGAATATCTTTCTCCTCATATGATGTAATATTATTTCTTGCCATCTAAAGTCTCCTTAAGTACGCCTTCTTCACGTTTTGAACCTTGTCCGATCAACCCTAAGTGCAAAGGGGTCACGTGGCTAAATGGAGGCACAGCTGACCTTAAACTCCAGGCCTCTGGAAAAGCAAACCCAGTGCAGCCCAACACATTTCTTGACTGTGCACATACAGACCTAAGTAGGCTGTTCCCTTGCTTAAAATCCTTTGGCCGTCTCTTGCTTTTAGATAACACAGCATCCCCTTGTTAATGTGACTTACTTGACCTTCTCAAAGTGTGCAAGATTTTGTTTGGATTTATTTTTGTGTCTCAGCTGACGGACCTTTTGTGTCACGGTTTTAGAATGAGGCTCGCAAATTGAATCACCAAGAAGTTGTTGAAGAAGATAAAAGACTCAAGTTACCTGCTAACTGGGAAGCCAGAAAGGCCCGTCTGGAATGGGAACTGCAGGAAGAAGAAAAGAAGAAGGTTAGGATCTACTCTGCTGTCTCCATAAGTTGTTTCTTCAGTTATTCTGTTGAATCAAGACAGTAAGAGCCAGCCTGCTGGAGTCCACGTGGTGGTTCTGCTTTTTACTAGTAGCAACACTTTGGGGAGTTGTTGAACCTCTCTGTGCCTCTGTTTTCTGAACTGTAAAATGGGGACTGTAATAATTATTTGAGTTAATTACGAATTAAATGAGTCAGTAGGGGCGCCTGGTGGCTCCATCGGTTCAGTGTCCCACTTCGACTCAGGTCATGATCTTGGGGTCTGTGAGTTCGAGCCCCGCGTCGGGCTCTGTGCTGACAGCTCAGAGCCTGGAGCCTGATTCGGATTCTGTGTCTTCCTCTCTCTCTGCCCCTCCCCCGCTCATGCACGCTCTCTCTCTCTCAAAAATAAATAAAGATTAAAAATAAAAATAAAAAAAATGATTCAGTGCGTGTAAAACATTTAAAAGGGGGTCTGACACCTGAGAAACATTGAATATGTATTTTAAATTGATGCACTCACTTCTTACATACCATAGTAGATGCCCAGATTTGCTTCAAGTATTAATCATTATTTTTTCCTTGATATTTTTATTCCACGTTGATTTAAAATTGATCAAATAATTGCTTTTGTCATAACTGCAGGAATTAACATTTTCTTTCTTTTTAGGAATGTGCCGCAAGAGGGGAAGACTATGAGAAAGTGAAGCTGCTGGAGATCAGTGCGGAAGACGCGGAAAGATGGGAGAGGAAAAAGAAGAGGAAAAACCCTGACCTGGGATTCTCAGGTAAAGCTGTTATTTTCTTGAATGGCCCTGTTAGGTAAGCATTACCTTTAGTGTTTCTGGTTTTAAGAAAGGATACGCCCCTTCACGGAATATTCTCCCAAGAGGCTTGAACCCGAGAAAAATACAAACAGGTCTCATTAGGGCAGAAGTAAAAAAGGCTGTACTTTAATCACCTGGATTTTTTTTTTTTATTCTTTGTGGTAAGATAAAAGCCTGTATTATCAGCACCTTCAGGACAGACGCTCTGCTTAGTGTCTTGTGCAAATATTACTAATAATTTTGATATTCTGTGGATCGTAATGACGAAACAGGGAAATAGATTTCTCTGACTCTCCTTTTATCTTTAGATTATGCTGCTGCCCAGTTACGTCAATATCATCGGCTGACCAAACAGATCAAACCTGACATGGAATCGTATGAGAGACTGAGAGAAAAACAGTAAGTTGACAGGAACGATGCAAGCCCTGTTTTCATTCTGAAGGGACATAGGGGTGTGTGTGTGTGTGTGTGTGTGTTGTGTATACATACACAGACGCATAAAGACAAACACACGCGAATGTTTGGGTACCAGTTATCAACATCTGCCTCAGAATACTTTCTGGCCTTCACAGTACCATTTATTGCTCACTCCACAGCAGGTAAACTTACCACCTTGTTATTTTTCCAGCCGGGCGTTCAGTTTAACAACCAGATTATCATAGTTACTCAGATATTTTAAGAGGCCGAATGCCCAGCTGGGTGAACTTTTTCTGCAGATACTTTAGGCTTTGTGGACGCTCTGGTCTCTGTCACAACCGCTCCGCCCTGCTGGTGTGATGTGAAGGCAGCCGTGGAGGAGTCATGAACAAATGGGTGTGGCTGGGGCCCAGTGAAATGTGTGCCAGACCAGGTGGTATAGTTTGCTGAACCCTTCCCATTAGTGGGAAGAGAAATAACCTGAACCGAGAAGCAAGTCCTTTAACCTCTGGCCCTTGGCTCTTTCATCTGTAGAATGAAGGTGTTGGAGGAGGTGGGTGATGTCTTAGGTCCCTTCCAATTCTAAATTTTCTTTAAAAAAAAAAAAAAAAAAGTTGGGATCCCACAGTAAATATATGTATGCATTTTATCACTCGCCATGAATGGTGGTTCAGTTTGAAATTTGAAAATGTGGAACTGTGTAGTGTCACTCTAAAACTATTCTGTTTTTTCAGTGGAGAAGAGTTTTTCCCAACATCCAACAGTCTTCTTCACGGAACACACGTGCCTTCCACAGAGGAGGTTGATAGGATGGTCACAGATCTGGAAAAGCAGTGAGTACTCAGTACAGCGGCCGGAAGTTTTAAACGTTTAATGACAAAATGGACAGAGGGTGCAGAGAGAGAATTGAAAGGGCGGATATCGTGCTTGCTCATTCTGACTCAGCATCTGTAGTGATTTTGGGGACAGACAGCAAGTGTGAGTTGAGTCCGTGCGATTTGGGATGGAGATGCCAACTGTTGCTGAAATTGAGTTGTTATAATCAGGAAAGCAGGAAAAGGTCCAAAGAAAATTATTCTTCTTTAAGGGCTTTTATCTTCATAACCAGTTCATTATTCGAAGAAGTACAAATGTTCTAGTAAATGTACCTTTGTTATATTTGTGTTTCTTAATACTGATATGGGTGAATATTAGGCAGAGCAGAATGAATTTATATTTTAGGAGTTAATACATGTAAACATATGTTACATATGTGATATATATATTAAAATTCGGGGCACCTGGGTGGCTCAGTTGCTTAAGCATCCGGCTTTGGCTCAGGTCGTGATCTCATAGTTAGTGAGTTCGAGCCCCGCATCGAGCTCTGTGCCGACAGCTCAGAGCCTGGAGCCTGCTTCGAATTCTGTGTCTCCCTCTCTCTCTGCCTCTCCCCTACTCACACTGTGTCTCTGTCTCTTGCTTGCAAAAATAAACATTAAAAAGAATAGTACATAGTACATATGTATAGTATCTGGTACATTTGTGCTCCATGTTAGCTGTGGTTATTAGTAATATAAATACTGTAATTATTTTTTAAAGTAGAATTTCATGTGTCCCGTTGCTGACAATGTATCGCTGCTCTTTTAGAAGAATTCCGAAGACGAGTTTGTATTTATTGAATTTCAGGGTTCATACCCAGGGCTGTGCCGTCAACTAGCAATTTCAGCCTGATGTTGACGAAAACTGCCCCCAACCCCAAGCCCCAAGCGGGCTATTCTAAGTGTACTGGTTCTCTTTATAACTATCTGGCCATGTTTTATTAGGATAAAAAAAGAAGGCAATTTTGAATCCTGTAAATTTTCTTCTTCCACCAGAATCGAAAAACGAGACAAATACAGCCGGAGACGTCCTTATAATGATGATGCAGACATCGACTACATTAATGAAAGGAATGCTAAATTCAACAAGAAAGCAGAAAGATTCTATGGGAAATATACGGCTGAAATTAAACAGAATTTGGAAAGAGGAACAGCGGTCTAATCCCTTCAGGAACTGTTAGGAACTTTTTAAAAGTTTGACAATGCTGGCAAATTGAAGTTCTCTTCAAAGTTTTATCAGGAAACCAGCAGTCATTCTACGATGCCTTCCTCATCAGCATTTGGAAATAAATGTTTTTCTTAAACATATACTTCCATGTATATTCCCCTATTTCTGTGCTTGGATAGAAGATGCATTTTAAGATGTAGTGTACTTGGTCTGTAAAAATCTACTTTGTATAAATACTAATTATTTTTCTATGTATTTTAAACGTATATGACTAATCTTTGAAGCGTTTGGGCTTCAGATGATCGGCAGCATACGTAAATGCCGTCATTGTTGCTTTGAATATTGTTAAGAATTTGACAAAATCTAGAGCCGGACTCGGCAACCTTTTGAGCTTGTAGACTCCGAAGCTAAGTACAGCGAGGAGGAAGGAAGGTGGCCATGGCTACTGGAGGGCTCTGTCTGCCCATGGCTGCTTAGGACCAAGTTCAGGAAGCAGCAGAACTGTCTTCTATGAATATTGACATATACAGTTCCTTTTATAAAAAGCAAATATCCTATGGAATAGAATCCCTACTAAACACTAAAACATTTAAAACAAGTAAGTGTGTGTGTGTGTATATATATATATATATATATATATATATGTATATATATACACACATACATACTCGTGTGTACGTATATATATATATGCTGAAGTCTGTGCTTTCGCTGTATAAACATTAAAAAATTTTTCATTTATGGGGAATTCAAGACAGTCAATAGAAGACAGAATAATACAATCAATCCCGTATACCCAGTGTCTCTCTTCAGGAATCATCAACTAGCCAGCCTGTTTCCTCTTCATTTCTATCTACTTTCTCCTCCATGAGTCCCATGTGACTTTGAAGCAAATATTAGATGTATAATTTTGTCTGTAAATATTTTAGTACCTGAAAGATAAAGACTGTTATTATCACAACAATAGTTTTAAGAAAAGTCCAGAGAGACAGATTGGTATGGCTTTTTCTAGGTGTTGAATAAAATGCTGAATACCTAATGAGGGGCATTCCAAATCTGAAAATTTCATAAATATATCAGCATTTGTTTTTAAAGACAATTTAATACCACTGGTGATTATTCCCTTCTGACACGTATGTAGCCGTTGGGATCCCTGGGTGGCTCAGTTGGTTAAGCGTTCAACTCTTTTGATTTTGGCTCAGGTCATGATCTCATGGTCATGGGATCAAGTCCTGCATCAGGCCCTGTGCTAAACCTGCCTAAGATTCTCTGCCTTCCCCTGTGCGTGTGTGGTGCACATATGCTCTCTTAAAAAAAAAAAAATCATGTAGCACATTCTATTTTTGTATTCGTTTCTGCTTCTAGCATTTGTGCAGTTAATCAGGTCTGATCACAGGGCCTCGATACTGCCTCTGAGAATATATTGAATATGTTTCTACTTCCATTTAAACTATCTTGTTTAAGTGTTTGGTCCTGAATATTACAATAGCCAAAAAAAAAAAAAAAAAAGTCAAAACATTGTCAAATGTATTTAAAAGCATAGTTCACTATAAGCCAGCAAAGTTTATTCTAAGAATGCAAGAATAGCTTTGTAGACCTATTAGCTGCCTTTCCAATATCAATCACCTGTTCTTTGTTACCGACCAGAACCCTGATTATTTTGGTGAATTTGTGGTGAAATTTCTAGCTAACCGTTAGCTTCTCCAGATGGAACTACTGACGGTCAAATGTTAGAGTTCTGGCTAATAAGACGTCATCCAACTTATTCTGAGAAACCTTTTGCTTTCTTGGTAAGGGAGTTGCCACTCCCTGCTTCCTCCTCCTTTCTTCCTGCTTGGAACGGAGACATGAGGCCTGGAGTTGTAGCAGCCATCTTGTGCCATGAGGTAACCCGCAGGAGCACAAAAGTGCTGGGATGTGGAGCAGAGCTTGAGTCCCTGGTGGCATTGCCGAGTAGCCCTAGGTGCCTACATCTCGTCTTCCTGTTTCTCACCACTGAATAAGTTGATGACCGATGCGTGGTTCAATTTCCGGACACCTGTTGATGGATATTACATATACAAAAGTCAATATGCATATATAAACATATAAGTACCTAGGGATGGAGATGCGAGGCGATAGAATAATCATAAAAATTAGATATTCAGACAGGAACTTAATGAGAAGGAACAAGACCTGAAGAAAATAAAATCCAATTGAAGGAGTGAACAGGAGACTTCTACCTGCAACCCAGATGGAGTGACCAGAAACGGATTTACCTTGCCACTTGAAACAAACAAAAGGATAGTGGGTATGAAACAAGTTTTCAAAGTAGTGGGAATCAGGCAAGGAAGGCCAGTGGTCCCTAAGAGAGGAAGTAAGGGTAGCCTTATGATCACCCCAGCCCTACTGTCTTTAGATACTTCCAGGCTGTGGTGTGGGAAGGGAGAACCCCGGTGGAGCCCAGAGACTCCCTTGGTTGAGGAGATTGAGCTGGAAGTCTGGGGAGACCTCAGTGGCGAGAGCTCACAGTACCGAGTACGGGAGAGGAGGGAGCCACACACACAACTCTGCCCCCTCAAGTGTGAGGCTGAGCACGATCTGCATGTGTGTGAGCTGATGATGGGGGAGGAAAAAGAACCACCTGAAAGGAGTGGTGGGAATGGTACCTGGCACTCACGTGTGGCCAGGACCAGTGTTTACCCACCAGCTGGAATGGAAAAGTTCATAATCCATGGGGTAGGAGACTAAGGAGGTTTTGTGTCCATAGCGGAGAATAATTAGCTGTAGACTAAATGCTGCTTGGGTCTTGTCTAAAAAACTATCTTAAAAATCAAGACATGGGGCGCCTGGGTGGCGCGGTCGGTTGAGCGTCCGACTTCAGCCAGGTCACGATCTCGCGGTCCGTGAGTTCGAGCCCCGCGTCAGGCTCTGGGCTGATGGCTCGGAGCCTGGAGCCTGTTTCCGATTCTGTGTCTCCCTCTCTCTCTGCCCCTCCCCCGTTCATGCTCTGTCTCTCTCTGTCCCAAAAATAAATAAACGTTGAAAAAAAAATTAAAAAAAAAAATCAAGACATGAAGGAATCAAATGGTTTCCAAATAATTTAAATGCGTTCAGAACAAGGATCAAGAACAACCAGTTATAGGGGTGCCTGGGTGGCTCGGTTGAGTGTCTGACTCTTGATTTTGGCTCAGGATTGAGCCCCCCATGGGCTCCATGCTGAGTGTGGAGGCTGCTTAAGATTCTCTCTCTCCCTCTGCCTCTCTCCTGCTTGTGCTCTCTCTCTCTAAAATAAATAAAAAATGAAAAAATATTAAAAAAGAATAACTTGTTATAAAAAACATAGAAACTCCCAGTACCCAAAAATATCAAATTCACAATGTTTAGCATCTAATCAGAGAAACTAGAAAATTGGACTCAATGAATGAGGTGATATAGACGTTTGGATTAGGACACAGATCAAAGCAGTTATTATAACTACTACCGCACATGATAAAAAAAATTAAGTAGAGACATGAATAAAGATGAAAAGTACATGTCCAAGGTGAAAAATACACTGCGGGTTTTACCGCAGATCAGACATTGCGGAAGAAGAGATTTGTGAACTTGAAGACAAAGCAGCAGGAACCGTCAAAAATGCGACGTAGAGAGTGAAAAGTTATTAAAAAGCATGAACAGGGGGCGCCTGCGTGGCTCAGATGGTTGAGCATCTGACTTCGGCTCAGACCATGATCTCGTGGTTCAAGAGTTCGAGCCCCACATCGGGCTCACTGCCATCAACCTGTCAGCGCAGAGCCCGCTTCAGATCCTCTGTCCCCCTCTCTCTGCCCCTCCCCTATTGTGTTCTCCCAGAAGGAAAAAAAAAAAAAACATTAAAAAGCGTGAACAGGGCATCAGTGAGTTGTGTGCCCTGTACATGGAATTTGGAGTTTCCAAAAGGTGGAAACACTGCTGCCCATGAAGACTCTGGATCTGAAGTTTCAGTCTCTCTTTGTTCAAATCTGAGTGAACACGAAAGGCGTTCTAAAAGACATGTTAGCACCGTGCTGAGGCTTTCCCCTCGACATGGTCACCAGGTTGCAAAAGGATTGAAAAGGGCCCGTGTCACCCGTGATCACCTGTGGGACACATCTCCCCCTTTGGGGAATGCTCTGCCAGCAGACAGAGCCATGAGAAACTGGGAGATACTGGCAACATCTCACCTGGCTGAAACCTGTGTGTGCACGTGTGTGTGTATGTGTGTGTGATAGGTTGGGAGGGGCAGGTGTGTCTTTCTTCAGCTGGAAGTGGCCCCTTGGGGAGAGATGCGTCAAATACCCAACAATCTCAGAAATACAGTCTGGAATGTACGGAATCTTTCATACATCGTTTATCACATACGTGTGATGGTTAAATGCAAAACCTGTAATCTATGCCAGAAGTTTTACAAAATCCTGTCTTGACATTTCTCATTCTTTAAATACGACAGAGGCCCTGGAGTAAGGGCTGGTCTAGACCTCTCTGTTTGCTTAGAGGCCGGTGTGCACAGGGACAGCCTGAAAGTCTAAAGGGGGTGGGGACGGAAAGCAGGGACAGTTAAACAGAGCCTCTGAGATCACAGCGGCTGTTTAGTGCGCCCCCTTGTGAGGTTTGAGGAGCATAGCTTAGAGTCAGTTGTGTATTAAAAAAAAACTTTTTAAAAAGTTTATTTATTTATTTTGATCTGTTTCAGATTCTGTGTCTCCCTCTCTCTCTGACCCTCCCCCGTTCATGCTTTGTCTCTCTCGGTCTCAAAAATAAATAAACGTTAAAAAAAATTAAAAAAACAAAGGGGCGCCTGAGTGGCTCAGTCGGTTAAGTGTCCG